TATAAAGTACTGTTATTACCCTACTTATCAATGGGAAAGTGTATGCATTGGGAGGTAAATAATGTTCCCTAGAACACACAACTACTAAATGCTGGAATTGTCAGTCTGAGACTAGAGTCTGTTGGCACTGTCTTGTAAATTGCCTGGAGCTTGGACGGGTGTGAAAGAGCGACATTAGCCTCTATGCTCAGAGCCAGCTAAGTAGGATCAGGTGGGTGTAAGGAGAACATGGTGGCTTAATTAGTGGGAAGACCTTGATATTTGGGGCCAGTGATTCTGACTTGAGGTTTGGCTTTGTTATTTCTCAGGCATCTGGTCAAAGCTAAAGTTTCTTTAGATTAAAAAGACCGTAATATACCATCCCCTCTTTGAGGTTTTTTTCTTAGTATTAAATGAAATATCTGTGCAATATTTTTGCAAATTATAGAACACGGTACAAATGGTAGTTATTTATAACACATATACCAGTGGTTCCCAAATTCAGGTCTTTGGAATAATGATTGTCTGAGATGAAATTTGTTAAGTCTGGTAATCACTTTCATCTTTTTCCTCCCTCCCAAATAACATAATTAGATTTTCCTAAAGCTAAATGCATTCCTTTTAAATGAGTCATATTTTTCCCTCCTGAGTTCGTCCTTTTTGATTTTCAGGTATACAAGGTTTATTTGTTTGTATATGAAATTATGGTGACGATAGATGTTAATTACTTTGTTAAAAAAAAAAGCCTTGGTAAAGAAAAATTGTTAGACTCTGGGTCTAACCTTTGAGTTGTTCAAATTGGACTTTTACAGGTAGGTGAAATTCAGATGAAGAACTGTGTTGACGAGCTTCTGAGAATGTTCTGGTACATATATGGACAGCTCATCCCTATTGAGTCTTACATATACACATTCTCCATACTTGTTTCTAAAACTTAGCTTTACTGTCATCGTAAGAGCAGCTGCTTACCACAGTGCTATAGATAGTGGGCTTAAAAGCAGTAAGTGGATTTTTAGACTAGATGCTGCTNCCACAGTGCTATAGATAGTGGGCTTAAAAGCAGTAAGTGGATTTTTAGACTAGATGCTGCTGCTTAGCACTGTGATTTTACAATTCTATCATTTTGAGAGCCCAGAATTGAATCCAACAGACCGTAATATACCATCCCCTCTTTGAGGTTTTTTTCTTAGTATTAAATGAAATATCTGTGCAATATTTTTGCAAATCATAGAACACGGTACAAATGGTAGTTATTTATAACACATATACCAGTGGTTCCCAAATTCAGGTCTTTGGAATAATGATTGTCTGAGATGAAATTTGTTAAGTCTGGTAATCACTTTCATCTTTTTCCTCCCTCCCAAATAACATAATTAGATTTTCCTAAAGCTAAATGCATTCCTTTTAAATGAGTCATATTTTTCCCTCCTGAGTTCGTCCTTTTTGATTTTCAGGTATACAAGGTTTATTTGTTTGTATATGAAATTATGGTGACGATAGATGTTAATTACTTTGTTAAAAAAAAAGCCTTGGTAAAGAAAAATTGTTAGACTCTGAGTCTAACCTTTGAGTTGTTCAAATTGGACTTTTACAGGTAGGTGAAATTCAGATGAAGAACTGTGTTGACGAGCTTCTGAGAATGTTCTGGTACATATATGGACAGCTCATCCCTATTGAGTCTTACATATACACATTCTCCATACTTGTTTCTAAAACTTAGCTTTACTGTCATCGTAAGAGCAGCTGCTTACCACAGTGCTATAGATAGTGGGCTTAAAAGCAGTAAGTGGATTTTTAGACTAGATGCTGCTTCTTAGCACTGTGATTTTACAATTCTATCATTTTGAGAGCCCAGAATTGAATCCAACATTATCACATATATTGAATGGAACTTGTGAAACCCTTGTGAGTTCTTAATACCTAGAAACACACCAAAAATAGAGCTTACAATTAAGAGATTTGCAAGTATGAGAAAACTGAGGGTTTTTCTAGCAAACTATTTAACAAGCCTGTCTTTAAATCACTTCTTTGTTGCTGAAAATGTCTTAGAATCTTGTCTAAAGTATCTCTGTGGCCTTCTTATTTTCCCTAGTTTTTCCGGTTTATTAGAACCAGCAGTATTGCTGGTTTGTCTCACTGGGCTGTATTAGTTGCTACTTACTGGTTTTTTCCTCTTCAGTAATGTGTTTGGAGCTTTGCATGTCTGCTTATTTACGAAGGAAAATACAAAGTTCTGTTTTTGTTGAAGGGCCTGCTCCATTTGGTTCCAGTTGGGTCAAACACTACTGCATGTATCGGAAAGCAGCCAAGAAGTTCAACATGATCCCATTTGAGCACAGATCTGGGGGGAAACTTGTAAGTATTTGATTCTACATAGAATAGATTTTATTCTATGTGAGATATTGTGTTTATATCTCACGTATATATATATATACGTGAGATATAGTGTTTATATTATGAGATATAGTGTGTGAGGGTATCATTTTAATGGGTTCTATTAGTTGTTTATATTTACTAATGATAATTAAATTTTGTTTTTAGGATTAAGTTTTTTTTTCTCTTTCGTTTCTAAATAAAATAGGCCATAAAACAGAACAATTCCTTTGTTTTCTGAATTGCATGCATGAATTTTTGCAGTCCGATTTTTTTTTTTAAAGGACCGAGGAATCCTTTTGTATCACTGTTATTGGAAGATAAAGATAACATCTATAGTAAGCTTTCATGACTCAGTATTTACTCAGGAGATCTGACCTGTACACATATATTCGCAGCCTGAAAACAATATAGAGTGATCTCTAATGAGTTTTACTGTTGTTCAGTTAGACTTACAGAGTTCTCACTTAGGTATTCTACATTTACTTAAGTACTCCTCCCAAAGAGATAAACAGCAAAGCAAAGCATGATAATAAGAAATGAGCAAGAAGACCTCAGGAGTTGGCTGTGTAGGAAAGGTGATTTTTATATGCATTTTAAGTAGAAGATGCAGCTTAAAATAATTAACAGTCTAGAGACAAAGCTCTTCCCACCAATATTGAACACAATTGGTAATGAAAGCAGGTTAATTCATTGCTGGCTGGGTGGATGGGTGTAGTTTTGCTTAGGTGAATACAGAATTAACCCAAGTTCACTTCTATTTACATATACACTTTGCTTCTTCCTGAAAAATATATTTAAAGCAGTTTGTGATAAAAACACATTTATGTAAAAATGAAATAGACGGGGAAAATTGGGGTCAGAGAAGAGGAGGAAGTAAGGATATCACTCCTGAAGGCTGATGGGGTTAAGATCAAGCATCAGGTTTCAGTCTGAGTTTCCTGTCAGAGCTAATTCAAGTCCTGAGACATTTCTGCTTAGTTATATCTTTCTGTTTTAGCCTCCAAATAATAATAAAAAAATGGAATATAACTGTGATATTCTGAATATTTGTATACTTGAATGTTTCTTTAATATTATTTAGAGATCCTCATATTCTAGAAAATATTAAAATGTTCCGGAAATGTGTACTCAGACTTCTTATAGTTCTTTATGGAGTACATGTATTCCTGCATTGCTTCTGTTTCCTGTCTTCTCCCCTCTTTTTAATGCTCTTAGAGAGAGGATGGTTTAATGAATTAAAATGGTACCATATTAAAATGAGTAAGTGAAGATAAATTCAGAGCGATTCGCTTAGGAAACAGAAAAACTGCATGGATCGAGCAGTTCCAGCTTTAGATAATCACAGTAGCTGATCTAGGGACCTTAGTGGTGTTTTAGGTCGATCCATATGGAATTGCAATTTTTATAGGCCAAAATGGTCACAGTCTCATATTGATGTATGGTATAATGTAATATGAAATAGAAACAAGTTTTCACTCTTTAAAAAAGAGTATAAGAGAATAACAAATATCCCAGCAACTGGAAACTATTGTTAATTGACCTTTTAAAATTAACATTGGTGAGGTCTGGTTTAATGTTACTATAGTCAGAGCAAGATCTTAAAAACCTTAAGAACAGGAGAATGACAAAAAATGATTAAGGTTTTAGATTCTAAAGTGTTTATATAAACTTAGTGTGAAGGTGAATAGGACAAAGACAAGGGACTTAAAATCTTGAACCTTCACTTCCTACCCGCAATATGGGGTGCCTCAGTGTGTATACACTTTACCATAGTTTTTGAGAATGTTTAAAATGATTATTTGCAGGGGGATGGAGAAGTATTCTTTTTAAAAGAATGTACCAAAAGGCATACTGACTCCACTGACAGAAGGTTTTGTTTCGACATAGAAGCTGCTGACCGGTAAGTTTATTGGAATTATTGGACAACATGAAAGAGTCATTTTAAAAGATAATTAAAAAAAAAAAAAAAAAAAGAGGTTAATTGCAGCTGTGATTTCCATGGCCTAGAAGAATGTTATCTTGGTACATTTCCAGGCTGTGGATTCATTATAAACTGTTTAGTCTTGGTGACTGTGTCTAGCTTTGGAGTGATAGCTTCATCTTGACTGAAGTTTGAAGTCATTCAAACCGATGTTGTCACTTAAAAAATAACATTGGAGCTTTCATTGTTGATCCAAGCCTAATTTGTGGGAGAAAGGGAACAGTAAGTGAGAGTGAATAACTGGGTGACAAAGCTAAAAACGGGTGATGGTAGATAATAATACAGAAAAATATTCATTTTCGTGTGTGGGAATTTTCAGTGTATGTACTCTATGTGATGGAGGGTCTTAGGCAAACTATTAATGTTTATTCAAAGAGTAGTTATTTTTTTCCTATTGTAT